AGAAGAGGACAAGATGTGTGTTGGTGGTGAGTTGGAAGACCTGGTATTAAATAACAATATAAAAATTGAAGCTTGCGAAGAATATATGTATTTAGGGGTAAAAATCGCAAGCAAAGGGAGATGCGAAAAGGAAATCGAAGAACGGATTGGTACAGGCAGAAAGGTGATAGGAGCGCTGAACTCGGTGCTTTGGTCTAGGGATATCTCGGATCACAGAAAAAAATAGCACCTTTAAAAACTAAAATATATGTTATTACCTGCGAATTTTCTAATAAACATTTTAGTGCACAGAAGAGTTTAGCATGGCATTTAAAATCACATGCACAAGTGGCACAAGGTAACAGACCAAATTATCAAAGAGGTGAGGCAGAGTGCAGAGTCAAGTGTGAGCATTGTCATCAAGTATATTAGTAATGATGGTGCATAGACTTTGACTGTCTTTCTTTGTTCTCTTTAAGAATGGAAAATTTGATCTTATCCTCGATTGAGGGATAATAATAGAACTGTTTTAGGTGATGGTTTAAATAATACCAATATCCCTGTACAAAATATTAGAAAAAACTCTCCCATGTGTGATTTTGTCAGTAGGTTTAAAGATGAATTACGTGAACATTTTAAACGGGATCATGATATTAGCACAGACTAGGTATACTATATGTATACAGATAAAAATCTTGTCCCTAATTCGTGGTACGAAAATTGATTTTTATGACGATGAGCAAACGAGTAAAATTTCCTGTGCGCAAAAATAAAAGCATAATAACTGGGCCGGTCAGGCGCTGTGCACAATTTTAGAGGCCATATAAGTGCTATGTGCGCAAACTAGTAACCTAACTAGTGCGCGACTCCGAAAATTGGAACCACGAAAAACAATGCTTTTGATGATAAGTTTATAATCTGTATATGTGATATTAAGGGACAAAAAACGCTAACATTGCTGGGCATGCGAGTTGACTACTAGGACGTAGAAGCTAGTGAATTTTATACCTAATAAAATTTCAATTTATTAACTAAATGTAATTCATACCCTGTTAAATTATGCAAAAATTAAATGTAAGTAGACCAAATCAAAGTATGAACGAGGTAACCAAATGAACTAAGTAAGAAATAGAGGTTTCAGTCAAGGTGACAGATTTAAAAACAATCCTAGGAACGAAGCCTACACAGGTAAATTTTGACAGATACTAAAAAATTATACATATTATTGAAATGTTCGTTTTAACAAGTAATTATAGAAAAATTCTTTAAAATTTTCTTATAAAAACATTTTAGGTAATATCTCTATTAATTCTTCGAGCGATTATTGACACACACTTTGATATTTTTGATAAAATATATAACTTGCTCATTTGTTACATTTAAATATAAATATTTTTATTTTCATAACAATTAAGTATTGTAACAATCTCGTTTATTTTAATCAGTCTCATTATAATTAGAAATATAATAACTAGGATTTATAATTTTTTTTGTTAAGTATAATACTAGTTAATATAAGTTACTTCCAAATTTTGAAATATATAAATTACTGTGCTCCGAATAAATAAAACCTCAAGATCTTAGCCAACAAAGCAACTATCTTTTAATAGATATTTTAATGAAATTAACTGTTTTATTCAACACTATAACACCCCTGCAACTTTTTTATATTTTTTCTTGGATAAAAAAAACGAGATTTGGTATATTAGTAATATGACTTAAATCAGGATTGATTGACTATTAGGTATAGTACTATTTAGTATCGGTCACTTCCTGTTAACCGAAATAACTAAAACTTTTGATTTTTAAATGATACCCTCGATATTTTTTAACTTTATTTGAATAGAATGACATATGTCAACTTTTGATATTTTCGCTTAAAAATATAATATTTTAAACTTCAATCTAGAATGTTATGGCTAGGTTAAAACCACTAATTTTAAATCAAGGAACCTTGGAAAAATACATTTGATAGTCTAATGTTTTCCGTCACGTTTCTTGGCCGGTTAAAAGATGCCGTATTAGTATTTTTAATCATAGCATAGTTGGAAAAGGCGTTTTTTAAAGAATAATTTGGTACAACATTTTGACTTTTTGAGTCAAATTGTCATTATCAACACAACCATTGCACTCTAGATTGAAATTTAAAATACAATGTTTTAAGCCAAAACGTAAAAAAAATAATATATATGTCATATGTCATTCAGAATATAATTCTCTATACACATATCTATGTTCTCTATCAAATAAAGTAAAAAAATATTGAGGGTACTATTTAAAAATCAAAAGTTATAGTCAGTTCCGGTGAAACAGAAAGTGACGGAAAATAAATGAATACGTCAATCAATCCCCATTTATGTCATATACTACTATACAGGTTGCTACAAATTCGAGGTACGAGCATTGGTATCTCGGTAACCGTAATAGATACAAACATGGTTAAATTGGGACAAAGTTGCGCTTTGGGATTGGCCAAGATGCCATCATAAAAGTTTTAAAAATTTTAAGGATTGCTGAGTTTTTTGAAAAAAAAATGGGTTTTTTTGAAAATCAATTTTATTTTTTCCTTCCGTTACTTTTAAAAAAATCAAAAAACTAATTGCACATTCTCATAGCAACTTCATTAGGGCTATCTGATAGTATTTTTAGATATTCAAATTAGCTGATAATTTTTGAGATACAGAGGCCGACTTAATTTTTTTAAATACGGACCTGCATTTTTTATTTCAAGTTTTGAAAGAACTCGGTCTCCTGAGTACAATAATATGTCACACTTTATACTTTTTTTTGTTTCGGACATTTGAACGCAATTTATTTAAACTAATTTCAACTCCGGCTGTTTTTTTTTTAAATTATTTAATCTATTCATCGTTACAATATTGATAAGCCTTCAAACTTAACAATGACGTGGAGTAAAACATTGAATACGGAAAATCAAATGTTATAAAAAATAATGTAAAATAAATAATAATTTGGAAACGGTAGTGCAGTATAATGGCCAGCGAGGTTCATGGACCTGTAGTTAGGGGGGTATTACTTGACGTACGTCATTTGTAACAGTAAAATCAATATTTTTCAACATTTACAATAAAGAGTACAAAATGCATTTGGAAGTATAAGAAGAAGATATGTTCGAAGAGCTATAAATAAAATTGAACGAATAATAAATTTGTGCAATAGGAAGGGTGGTTACCCTTTCGAACATATAGAACATTAGAAACTAGTTTGTAGAAGTTGATTTATTTATAATAACTACGATTTATATTATGCATATTATTAGATCGGACACTGAGATTTCAAATTCACAATAAAAAAATTAAAAATAATATCTTTGAATTGCTGACCTGGATATTATTTATTAGAATCTTTCAATTGACTCGATTTTCCTTATTCAATGTTAATTAGCGATGAACAATATTGTTGCGATGAATATAATCGGATTAAATAATTTAAAAAACCAGAGTCGGACTTGAAATTATTTTAAATAATTTTGTTGTTGTTAAGGTACCCAAAACAAATAAAGTAGAAAGTGTGGCATATCATTGTACTCTACTAAGGAGACAGATTTCTTTCAAAACCTGAAATAAAATATGCAGGTCCGTATTTAAAAAAAATAAGTTAGCCTCTGTATCTCACAAATTATCAGCTAATTTCAAAACTTAAAAATACTATCAGATAGCCCTAATAAAGTGGCTATGAGAATGTGCAATTAGTTTTTTGATTTTCTAAACAGTAACTACAGGAAAAAATTAAATTGATTTTCAAAAAAATCTGTTTTTTCCAAAAAACTCAGCAATCCTTGAAATTTTTAAAACTTTTTTGATAGCATCTTGGTAAACATCCCTTTGCCCCCATTTAACCATCTTCGTATCTATTATGGTTTCCGAGATACCAATGCTCGTACCTCGAATTTGTAGCACCCTGTATACAAATGTCAATTTTGTCTGAAAAAAAAATTAAAAAAAATACAAAAAAAACAACGATATACTTAAACACTCGGTATTTGCTATCATGTAATTATAACTGAATTTGACTTATCTACACAAACTTTTTTGTTTAATACTTAAATTTTTAAAATAAACACACTGGTCCAAAACTAGGATCTAAATTGAATTTAAAGCTGCTTTAACTGAGACTTGAGATGAATTAAATAAAATTTAAATCGCGTTTTTAGAAAGCATATGTAAGAAAGGTACGTATAAACTCGGGAGTTAGGTTAGGTTAGGTTAGGCAGTTGAGGTTCAACATTTTTGTATTTATAAACTGTCAGTTTCGGTTGTAGGTTAGGTTTGGAATTGTAAAAATTTCGAACGTTTTTCTTTCGATTTAAAAATACTTTTGATACTTTTAAAAGCTCAAACATAATAATCCAAGATTGCGCAAAATATAAACATTATATAAAAATAAATAATGAAACAACAATAAGGGTCATTTTCCAATGCATCTCTTTTCTGTGCTTCACGTGATCGACAGGCGCTTACTCATTAGCTGCCGTTCCAACTGCCCAACGTCGCGAACTGCCGACTTAAGAGCTCGAACACACTGACGGCCAGGTCGCACGGACCAGGCCGCTGCTACCTCTAAAACCATTAAATCAAATGATACGGCGCACACTAACGACCCGGCCGTTGGCTGGTCGTTGCGACCAGTAGACTGCACTAAAATATTTTTCCTCCAAATTAATAATTTTTCAGATGAAATCCCTCAAATTCAACGCAAAATATTTTATTTTCTATAAGATATAGTGTTTTAGTATAGTTTTTGCACACGTGCAGAAAATCCAAAGAAATAGTATACAGACTGGATCAAAGGGAAACTTAAATCTAGTCCCTTTTTTATCAAGGGTCGATTCTAGTAAAAATTCAAAACATTTTTATATGACATACTCTATTTATGGTTGGTATGATACCTGTTATTATACCTTCGAGTTTCGATGTTAAAAAATAAAAAAATCATATTTAAAGTTTTTCTACAACCATTTGTTATTTTTTGATTAAATTAGTTTTTTTAGTTGTATTGTAGTCATGTACAAGGGGGACAACTGTATTTTATATATTATATTTAATTTAATGTTTTTCAAACAGGGCCCATTAGACAATATTTTTACTAGGACTAATTCAATATCCTGTACTAACACAAATACCAAGAAATAGAGTTAAAAAATTAAATATGTTTTTTACGTATATAAATAAGTCATAAATAAATCATTTGTTTTCAATTCTTAGGAACAATACTATTTTTGCCCTTTATTGATATAATGTGTTTATTATTTTTATATCTGATGCAACACACTGTGACGGCCAGACGGGCCAAATTGCTTCAAAAATATTCTATTCAGTTTTGTGTCCACATATCGTAGTTCTTTTGTGATTTTCGCTCGGTGTGGCTTTGAAGAAACATTACTTTATTTAATATTAGAACATTTAATAAGCTCATGAACAGGAAATTCGCTTTTTAGTTAACTCGGATATTTTAACATTTCTGAAAACAATATTTTCTAATAATTGGTAAAACGTAAAAAATCCTTAGATCTGACAGCCCTGCCGAAACTGGTCGTTCATCTGGCCGCACATGTACGCAATATATCCGACCAGCCGACGGCCAGGTCGTTGCGACCTGGCCGTCAGTGAGTTCTCTGAACTCCCTTGAACGTGAAACGAACTGTCAACTTTTTGACCAACTGACTTTATAAATGCGCGGATTCATTTCATAACCTCAACATCATTTTGAACCTCAACTGAACTTCAACTGCCGAGTTTATAAATCCAGCTTTTCAGTTATTACCGTTTTTGATTTATAAATAAATATATTTAATTATGGTAAATTTAAGTCAGCCATATTAAAGTACCTTCGCGGTCTCGCTAATTTTATTTATTAACACATTCCTTAATTTTCTTATAAAGACAGAAATGTCAAGCGTGTCAATTTTTACAACTCAGTCGGCCCAATGCCCTATACATACTAATAAAAACTCGATATCGCGCTTAAAATCGATCAAAACTAAAATGTTTTTATAAGGAAACGGCTCTATTAAAATGTACACATGTTCTATAAAGTAAAACTAATCCCCTTTATTACCTCAACTGGTTGATGTCGAGCGCGCGTCTGTGCTTAAGCCACTCCCGTTGATTGTTGTTGCATATCATTTTAGGGGAAGCGTTCTCCTTTCGCTTCGCCCTCAGCAATCTGGGCTTGAAAGGAACGTGCTTTTCCTCGTCCAAACCATTTTCGACCCTACTCGTTTTGAAATGAGGCTCGAAGTCCAGCAGGTCCGGTGCCGACCTGAAATTTTACCAACGTAAACATTACTAAGAAGAAGGCGTACGGGACATACTTTGATCTAATCTAGCTTCCCGACACATATACAGCTTTCTCAACAGCTACAGGATTGTCTTTACAAGGGGAAAACTTTTTTATCATTGACATTTGAGAAAAATGCATTCTTCATAAAAAATTTTGGTCGTTCTAAAATAGTTAATCCCGTTTATACTTTTCCAAATTTCCATACCGTTTTAGAGAAAATTAAAAAAAAACATGAAAATATGGTTGAATTTTTTCTAAGCCCTAGAAACTAAAACGCGTTTCTGTAGTAATATAAATTTTATTTCATTCTTTGATATATGCAAGATATATGGGTTATTATTAATTTTGATTAATGTCATATTCTTTGCTGTTGTTAAAGTATCATATTGTTAAGGTCAAGGTGTATTACTGGTTGCATAACCGCAACGGTGCATTGAGGAACCTGGCGCATTCGCCAGAAAGTAAAGAAAATTATAGAATTCTTTAGAAAAATCTAGAAACAACCGCCAGAGGGTATATAAGGCCCGCGCTTTGACAGTTGGACAAGTTTAAAGTTTGAAGTCTGAAGTCTGAAGATAGTCTGAAGTCTGAAGTTTGAAAATACCGCGAAATACCGTTAGAGTAATAGTAGTTGCATAAGTTGTGTAGTAAATAGTATAAGTTGTGTGTACAGAGTGAAACAAATAAATTCGTTAAGTATTTTATCGTGAGTTTAAATAGTGGACCCACGGAATCCGTAACAATATTTTCGGATAACTATTGTTACCCTTTCTGTAGCATTGAACTAAATAAATGTTTGTGTTTTGTGCTTCTTTAATATTTTAAAACAACAAAAAATATAATATTAACTAAAAATCTATGACTAACGATCTATCAATATGTCTATCAAAGAATGAAATCGAATTGATATTACCATAGAAACGGGTTTCGATTTTTAGGACTTTAGAAAAAATTCAACCATATTTTCATGTTTTTCTTAATTTTCTCTAAAACGGTATGGAAATTTGGAAAAGTATAAACGGGATTAACCATTCTAGAACAAGCAAAAAATTTTATAACGAATGCATTTTTCTCAAAATGTCAATAATAAAAAAGTTTTTCCTCTTGTAAAGACAATCCGGGGAAATTACTGTATACTGCTAAATTGGATACTTGGTTAGTTTTCAAACTAGCCAGCTATTTTGCATAAAGCGCTGTTATTTTGTTGGTTGGTTAGTTTGTGGTGTTCGTTGTGCTGTTTGTTTGCAAAATAGCTGGCTATATGGTTTGAAAACTGGCAAAGTATCCATTTTAGCTGTAACACAATATTTCCCTGGATTGTCTTTTTATACAGGGTATCCCAATATTCCGTGGACTTCTACGTATTTTTGGAATCAAAATAAGTTGATTGGACACAATTTATCTCTATACCAAAGTGCTTCGTTTGTTCGTTAGAGGGCATCAAACTTTAAAAAAATTTACAGATTTTTTCAGATATTTTAAGAACCGTTATTCCGATTTGAGATTTTGGGTGTCTATCATTTTTTGCTAAGTGCTTTAACATTTGATTTTCTCAAAAATCAAGAAAAAGTACGGGAAGGATGAAAACTATCCCCACCCCTACATACACTTTAGTATGAAGATTTTTCAAATCAACCGACGACCGATTTTTTTTCGTAAAATGGCCCTTCTAGTGTTTTCTACATTTTTTCTAAAAAACGCTACCGCCCATATTTTTGAGGAAAAAAATTATTTTTCCAAAGCAAACTTCCAAAAAACGTTTTTTGTCATGGCAAGCTATGGAGGCGCATAAAATCTATCTCATCAAGCATAAAATCTATCTACTCTAATAATCTAGTTGGCAAATATATAAAATTTTATGTTAGTATCACAAATTATATTTGACAATAAGCTTCATGAAAATGTTAAAAAAATTATAAATTTTAAGTTAATTAACGTTCGGGTTTATTTTTGATTGATGCCCTCTAAAGGCCAAATGAAGCACTTTGTATAAAGGTAAATTATGTGCAATTGACTAATTTTTAATCGAAAAATACGTAGTTGATCTCTGTCCACGGAATATTGGAACTCCCTGTATATTTTGTAGGTCTGCTTTGGAAAGACAAATTCTCCAAAATTTTTTTTCTCAAAAACTGTTGGTGTATAGTTCGTGAACGAACTAATAAAATTCCAATGAATTATTCCGATCCCGGAATGAAAGGAACTAGTTCCCGGTTTGTCAAAGAACTTCAGAACCTATTCCGGGATCGAGACTGTAATAATAATATGCGACAGCGAGGGATCACGACGGCCAGCGCGATCGTAGCCCGATAAAAGGCTGGAGTGGGGAGTGCCAGCCGTATGCCATATGTTATCGGATCCGGACCTAGAGGAACTAAATAAAAAACTAGTTTACGTACGGGTCGGCCAACGCGATCGTAGCCCCAGGTGGATGACATTTCTTATGGGAGAACTGGCAATGGTTGAAAACTTGACTACAAGCGATTTCCTAGGAATCTTCCTTACCGATAAATTATTGACAAGAGTGACAGATAAAGCCTTGACGTTCTTTCCGTATTCCAGTTCATCTCTTTTTCTTTCTAAAGTGTGCGTTGAAAGGAGACAAAAACAATTTTTGGTGACCCATAATTTGTTATTCGAACACCACCACGGGGGTGTCACTTGTATGGGAAAACAGGCAACAGTCAAATTTAAACGTGCCAGGACCAACGACAAAGAAAGCAACATCTGCCAGGCATTGGCTTTCTTTTTCACTCACATTGCTTAAATCATGATACCGCGGCCATTTTGCCAACAAAGAAGCTGACCGGGCTGTCCTGGCAAGTGATTTAAAACAATTTTGCTTTTTTACAATATTAAATTACCATTTGGATGTATTTAATGCGATTATTCAGTTAACTGGTAAGTCAGAAATTACACACAAATACTTTATTCGTAAATACAACTAAGATATAAACGTATTTTTGTATTTTTAGATTTCAACTTTTGCAAAGACCCGCCGATAGAACTTGCCTGGTAGCGTACCTGTTTAACTAAACGTATCATTTCCTGATCATAATATCAAAACACGTAAGTACCTCTATAATTTATGATGAAAAATGATTTTGATTATGTTTTATGTTATTTAAATACTTTCTAATCTCATATAATAGTAAGATCCTTGTTTATATCGCACAGCCCGTTCAAAACTGTATTGTCTTCAAAAAATATTTACAAAACAAACAATTAATACAACAACAATGTCCTTTTAATCTGATTTATACCTCAGAAGGATGCCAGCAAAATTTTATTAAATTAACATTATATTATTTGGCCATTAATATGCAAAAAGGAGCGTATTCCTTAACTTACATTTTCTTTTACTTCTCTTGACAATGTTCTCTATATTCTCTATTTTGAGTTAGTGAACTTTTGAACTGGATGTGCCATATATAAAATACATAATATATCCAAGGGTATGATCTGATAAAAGTATTTTTTTGATGGATTTTTTGGTTGTTTATGCACGTTGGCTTAGTGTATGTTTTATTCAGCTTATATTTATTTGGTATAATAGTTTTTTTTGCCTTTGGAATGGCATGCATTGACGCTAGATAGTGTTTCATTAGTTCATTAAAGGAATTTAAATTAGCACATATTTTTTGTGATATTAGTGTGTTATTATGATACAACTACTAGGTAGTTGTATGATAGTGCCTTATGCATGTTATTTACCTATTATATACTTATGTATTATCAGTAAATAGATGATAACATACTACTAAAATGTATTTTTAATAGTATGTTTATCTTTCCAATTCACTAGTTATTTGCAAAATGTATTTTGAACTAATTTAAGTCATTAATTGATCATCTTTCTTTTTCAGGTTGCGGGATATTCTTTTTCATTGTTAAAAATATATATATATATATATTTCAATATTATTGTACTATAAATCGCAGCTCTAAAAAATAAATGATATTGTTTACTAATGTGTAATTTATTTACTATGAATTTTCTCTGAAAATAATAAGCCTTTAATAATATCATTGATTTGCTGTGTAGAGTTAATAGACATGTTTTTTAATACATTAAATTATATTAAAGTAATAAAAAATATGTTTATTAACTTTAAACAGTAAGTCAGTGATACTTATAAAAATATTTTTTTTTGAAATTTCCCCTTTTTTAAGGCCCGCCCCTCCAATTCCCCTCAATTTAGCTAGTACTGCCAGGCGACACCAGGTGGCGTCTGTTTCCATTTTTTAACATGAAGTTAGCATTTCTTTAATGTTACCTATTCTCTGAACACCACTTTTCTCCTTGTCGGGTCGTTGACGTTGACTTGTCGCGATTTTATTTCTTTTGTTTACACGCTGCATTTTGCTTTGCAAATATAATACATACATTATTTAGGCAAATATAGGTTTTTAATAAAACTCCTCGGACTAACGTGCAGGTAAGTGTTGATAATTTTTTTTTATCTTAACATGCTCATTGTCGTTCTGATTTTAGGTGATAGAAAAGGATCATCAAATCAAATTGAATTTTATATTTTCCTTCCTATTTATCCTTCCTAAATATCAACGAGATGAGCCATCGGAAGAAAGGGACCATAGTACAAAACAGAAAGGTGATCTTTTTTCTTTCCACTTCGGATATTGAAATTATTATATACTGTAGTCGTGTTCGGCATTATGCTCTGAGAAATATAGATAAACAAAGAACAACAGATATAAAGCATCCCAGAGGAAAAGAGAGGCAATACCTGTATGTACTCTCTCTGATATTTGTGAAAGTTACAGCAAAGTATTGTTGTAAATGTCATCTTTTTGATCGACCTGAAAACTTCGAGCAAAAAGATGACACTTTCAACAATACCCTGACAGATATCAGAGACGATACAGGTTTTTCCTCTCTTTTCCCCTGGAATACTTTTAATTTATTATTCTTTGTTTATCTAGATTTCTCAGAGCACTATGAACGAACTCAGCTTGTATGTTTGAAATAATCGTCCAGTTGGCTTAAAAATGATGATCGAAGACATTTCCCATATAATTTTACTTTCAAAATTATGATATATCTTTTATTTCTAAGCCATCTATGACGCCATTTTTTTCAGTTTTGTTATAATTAATTTTGACTCTTGATCTACTTTTAACATTATTCTTTTAATTTTATTAATTTATTGTGGTGAAATTAATTTCTGTTGTATATTTGATATTGATATTAAACATATTTTTAAAAAATGGTGTATTTTTTGTGTTTTTGTGTATGTCATAATTAAAAATAAATGAATAAATAATTTTTTTTATTTCTTTAAACTTCCCGCCATGCGTGACAATTTAGTCCGTAGTTCCTACAATCGAAATTGGGGGCGCTAGTAGCAGTAGACTTGTCAACAGTGTCAAATTTAAACGTCAATTTCACTTTCCACTATTTAGCAAGGCGCTCGCACTTCTTCTTGTGTATGTGTTTTGTGCGTAGCCCGATGCTAGGCGGAATTGGGGAGTGCTAGCCGTATGATACCTGTCCCTGACCGAAAGGCTGAGAGGAACTAATTAAAAGACGTTCACGGGAATCTATTCAATCGGCAGATCCGAGTATTATATATACAAGGCGACGACGATGGATTCGGCATTGTTTATTGCCACAGCCGGCGTAATTACCACAGAAAATTGTCGTGGATACTGTTTTTGATTTTTAGTTTATTCTTTGAATATTTTATGGGAATGTTAAAATTAAGAAATGTCTTATAAAACGAAGTAGATATTCTGAATTTTTAGACAAAAGCAAAACGCTTAAAGTGAGAAAAAATGCAATTTTTCGTAAAATTTTCCTATTATTTGCTCCATTTGATTTGTGATATAGTTTTTTTTAAACTCTGCTTTGAGTTTCTTTTTTAATTTTTTTATCTGCAATGAAACTTACCTATATGTTTTTATACGCAATTACACGTCTCGTTATATTTCGTACATTACAAAAATTATACAGACCATACTGTTAATAGTTCTGACTGACAACGAAAGCCAATAGAAAGCAACGGGGAAGTCAATGTTAGTCGGGAACTATTGAACTAAAGACCTAGTTCAAGGAACTATTCTTCTGGAGGAACTAGAACTAAGGAACTAGAATTTTCACCTCTAAAAACTATGCGATGTGGCGTTTTTTGCAAGAGACAAAAATGTAGTAAATACCAGAGGGACCATTTTACGAAGAGAAAATTTGTCGTTGGTGGAGTTGGAAAATATGTATACTAAAATTTCTCACAACTTTTTATAGTAGAGGAATTGCGTTACGAGACTTCTCTATTTAATATAGAGTATTGCAGTCTCTGACGTCACGGTAATGGGCGGATTTCTAAAGCAATGCTTTATAAAAAATAAAACTTACCTCTTATTGGTAGAAATCCCTGCTAAATTAAGAAGAGTTTCAGCTCCTTCCTTAATTTTTCTTGCTTCGTCATCGTCGAAGTCAATTTTGCGACAGACTAGGCTCTTGCGACTCCTTAAATTACAAAAAATAAAATATAAATACGATTTTGTAACCATCTCTTATTTCTGATACATTTTCAACATTTATATTGTTATGTTTTTTATATCTTTATATTTATCGATGTTCAGAAACAATATAATAAATATCTCAATTGTCCGCTAGGGGGCGCATCTGTTATGGCCAATTAGAAAACGAGATTTTTCTCAAAAATATGCACGTAAACAGGTATTCTCAATATTGCTATTCTGGTTTAAGAGCTTTTATTCCTTAATAATCTGCAGTATATTTATCTGCTTCATATATTTTGCCATGGTAGCTAGGTTAACACAACAGATATTGCGGGTTTGCATAAAAAAAATTAAATGACAACGTATGTTTCTTTTCGCATAGTTAAATAGAGCACACAATTTCCAAAAACGCGCAAATTGCATCCTTCTATCTTCTCTGTAACGGGCGATATTAAGAGAAAAAATAAACTTTGGCCATTGATTTAAGATGAATAAAAGTATATAAAATACAGGAATTGTTGTATTTTATATATTTTGTATATTCGATATTCGTTTATTTAACATCATAAGATGACAAACAACAATGTTCATGAAGAAATAATGATAAACCGTGTGTTGTATCGCCGATTTGGACATAGGAAATCCCATGTAAATTTTAAAAATGATGAATGTTTTCCCCACTTTATTTTACAGGCAAATGTATTTTGGAACTTTTTAAAGAACTCATCAAAATGAAGCAAATTGTTCATTTTGGATGGTTTATACGAAGTAGTTCTTTATGAGAGATACAAAAATACTAAAAATTAAAATATAGCGGTCCTGATCAAACAAACATCTCAATCACAAGTTAAGTCACAATATGAAAAATATATTAAGATTTTCTTCTACAGAGATCTGTCAAAAATATTTTCAGTTATATTCTCTATGAAAAGTTACAAAAAGTATACTGTCAACATACGAGAATCTTTTAAAAATCAAATATATTTCGTAAATAAGTAAACACACTGCTTCAAAAGGAAATGTATTTATTAAACACTAAACAATTCACAAAATTAAGTACTTGTTAATAATTAAAAAATGTATAATATTTGCTCTAGTTATTCACCCCGTCCAATAATTCTTGGCGTTCTGAATATTTAAATGACTTAAAATTATGCTTTTTCATATTCGCTAAACAGTGGTACAATGTTTTTCGGCTATTTCTCCAAGTATTCTGGCACTTTTCTCAAATATCCTTATCAATATTAATCTTCTTTTTATATTTACTGTCTTTAATAACTGTTCGTGTTGGAATTTTTCTCTTCATATTTATAGTTTTCAATAACTGGTCTGGCATATTTGGAAAATGTACAGAAACTAAATATTTTACAGTCTATAGAGATTTTCCACCATAATACCACTAAACAATTTTTTGTCTTTAGTTGTGTTATTCATATTTCCAAACTATCTTTAGCACGTCAATATGACACATATGACATTTCGTATAAATCATTCAAAATGAACAATTTGCTTCATTTTAAGGAGTTCTTTAAAAATTTTCAAATAAATTTTTCTGTAAAATAAAATGGAGAAAACTTATTCATAATTTTTAAATTTTACATGGGACTTCCTATGTCCAGGTCGGCGACGCAACAGACTGTATACAAATGGTATGAAGTAGTGTAATAGGACAATTAAAACATGCCCACCAAATTCTAAAACAGTCTATCCAACGAAACAAAGGACGATTTCGGCAGGCGACATCCAAATAATGACAGAAATAAATCTACTTTTGAATCAGAATGACGGATAACACCTGTCACTGTCAAATCGTCTCTGGTTGGACCGACTATTACTATTTCAGATATAGTTTGTACAGCGAGAGAAATATGATTTTATACAGAGAACATGCAAAACATTACAGAAAAAAACAATAATTTATGAACTTTTAAAATAAAATGATAAGGCAACAACTTCATTAAACATATTTTCATTTGCCGGACAAACTAACGTAAAATTTGATAAAGTAATAATGTTGAATTGAAGTATACGAAATTCTTTTGATCAGTTTCATTATATGAATTCGATATAAAAAGAAACGTGTAAATCATGCATGCAATGCCAAAAACGACTTTTTTGGTATGAGACACAAAACGTACATACCTAGTTCTAATAATCCTAAGGTCATTACTATGCATGAAAATGATTTTATAGATTTGCGCTTATTAATCAGATAATTATTCACTTACTTATCTTCGTCGCTTTCGAAGGCCTCATCTTCGTTGTCTCCGCTGTCAGCTGCACTATATGTGTGATCTTGACTAGGAGACGTGGTAATAACCTGTAATAAAGAAAATACAATAAAAAGTATTAGTACGAGAGCTAGCAACATCGGAAAAAAAAAGTATTTTAAGACGTCTGGCTCTTTGATATATCTTTTACTATGCTCTTTAAAACAGCATGCGGCCCGTCTGGCTGCCGGTAAACGTTGCGTTCCCTACTGCGCATTGAAAGAAGATCCTATATTTTTATTAGTCCTTTAGGTAATCCTGCAGTTTAGGCCGACAACAAATTGCGATCCAGTATTGACCGCTGTGTTGCCAAACTTAAGAATATAGGTTTGGAAATAGGGAAATCTGAAAAATATTCACTCTGATGTTGATAAAGATTGTATCAAGATTTACTCTGAAAATATTTTATTGCATAGGATATTGTTCAACAATGCACTTTAAAAAGTTTGGAAATTCTGGCTCTCCAGAGATTTTGTTTCTCCACATAAATTTCTGTAAATAAGAGCCAAACAGATTGGGAGAGGTGCCAAATTGCCTTTTTAATTTTCTTTTAGCTCTCATCCATAAATTTTCAACATTTTGTGTGCGAATTCGAGGATCATTGGGATCAACAAAATTTTCTTGGTGAATAACGACAAGATGTTCATAAACACCTCCACCGAGGACATTTATGTTTCGATAGGCTCTCCACCTATCAGAAACGATAGTAGTACCAGGAAGTATATATCTAAAATTGTTAATACCTATTTTTAAGGACAAACAAAATGTTAGCTATGTATTTACCAGTCTAAATGATACTAGGCATGCAATTTATACCCGGTATTTCTCCTAGATGGTTCTCTCCCTTTGAAATGAACAAGTTATAGCCATTTTTGGTTTAACAGGAAGAGACGACAAAAATAACAACTGTATGCCAATCAATGCATATTTATGTAACAAACCAACCAACCAACCAGTTAAAATTCATTTGTTTATCTTGCCACAAAGAAGTTATAGGGGAAGCCTTTCATCGGGGTTTACAATAATCGTAGAAGCCATAATTCTTATGAAACTAAAAGTTATAATAGTTGTTTCAGCTTAATTATAATTATATTCTGTATTATTCCCTATAAATCTTACCCGTCCCGCGAATGGGTAGTCGTTTGTTATATAAATTAAATGTCTAATAATAAATTAAATTTCTAACAATTTAAAACAAGCAATCACCAAATTCCGTTAAAAAGTTAATGTGTTAAATAGTAACGCCGCATATGATCGTTAACGATTGCCTGACGACTCGCTTTATTTTTCGTCGGCCTAAACTGCAGGTTTACCGTCCTTTAAATGATTCACAGTTCGAATCCGGGTCAGGGCAAACACTTTTTTATTTTATTTTCGTTTATATTCTGATAGTAAAGTATTAAATATTAGTTTTTTTTTAAATTACCAGAATTAATTAATACTTTACTATAAGAATATAATGAAAATAAAATAAAAAAGTCTTTGTCCTGACCCGGATTCGAACTCTGAATCATCGGTTCGTGGTCGGAAACTACGCACTGCGTTATGGAGACATGGTCGATTTATATTCAATACTAGAATTTATAGGACTAAATTAATAAAAAATATAGGATCTTCTTCCGATGCGCAGTAGTGAACGCAACGGGTATCGGCAGCCAGACGGGCCGCATGCTGTTCCAGAGAGCATAGTAAAAGATATATCAAAGAGCCAGACGTCTTAAAATTCTTTCTCGAATATGTTGCTAGCTCTTAGACTATATGTAATGTAAGTCCACGCTATATGTGTAATTCACGATATATGGAAGTGAATTCCCGTAAGGACATTTACCGAATCAGAAAGTTGCCCGAATAAAGCAATAATTATCAGGCCATTGTCATTGTCATCCCTGCCTGAGTATAAACACTTAACTACATCTGAGGTCTGATCTGACAATTACATGCAGTCAATAAAAAGTCTTCGAGCAACTATTTCTTCGGCAATTGCTTTCGCGCAATTTTCCTAGCTTCATAAATTCTCTTACCTGAAATTCCTGTTTGCCATTTATTCTGGTCGCATTTTTTAAACTCAACATCACCGTTGCAGCATCAACAGCGTCCAAAGACTCTTCCTGAAATTAACGTTATATCTGAACATCATAATTTTAGTTCCCTTATTCAGCGTTTATATAGTATATGTATTATGTTACCGGCAAAATTTGAAATTCGACATTCCTAAGAAGGAGATGTTCAAAATTCTATGCCAAATTTCCTAAAATAAAATAATGTTTCTTCGTTTTTTTAAATGGAACACCCGTATATTATTTTTTCAATAGATGGAGAATTAAAAAATAAACATTTTTCGTATTTAGAGTATTTCAAAATTTTTAACGGTTTCGTAGATATTTGCGTTTTTATATTTCATATACCATTTTCCACAGAAATTTTTATCAAAGCCACCCAATGATTTTTCTCTGGTATTTTACCGTTGAAAGAGCCATATGAAATAATACTGCGTTTATCTGCGAAACCATTAAAACTTTCGAAATACTTAAAATACAAAAAATGTTCTTTTTTAACTTTCCATCTAATAAAAACATAATATACAGTTCCATTTAAAAAAATTAAGAAAAATTATTTTATATTTTAGAAATTTTCGCGTAGAATGTTGAACACCCTGTATAATTTAAGATTATGATATTTATAGCAAAGTAAGTATAGACCATCTGAAGAAAATAACTAATATAGTTTTTATTTCTAGGTAGTTCTTGTATTTGTAATAACTTTTTTAAGGAAGGGTGAAAAATATAAACTTTTTATTTATTTATTAATATCTCTGAAATTATCGAAATATATTTACTGATATCTTAGGATTATGTAAAGTGATCTGAAAAGAAACCAAAAATGCAATATTATACAGGGTGTTCCATTAAAAAAAAATCATCCCGATCCACTGACACTTTTTTGAGCCACCCTATAGAAGTTAAAATATTTTCCTCAAATACATCCTCGTACATACTTTAGGTTTGCACTTAAGCAAAATTCCCAAGTTTTTTTTAATCTAGGAGCTACTACAGATGCCCGACGCACTATTGCCGAACTCTGTATAGGTATTCTATAACAGCGTTTTCAGATGGAACGGAGCGTCCGCGACTTTGAGCAAATACCATGAGTTTATATTATGAACGATTTCACATGGGTCGCGTATGCTCCGTCCGGATGAGCTATATTGAAAAAACATCCGCGCGGACGCTCCGCACGTACGGTCCGCTCCATCTGAAAACGCTGTAAAATGTCTAAGCCCACGGCCACACAGAAATCGTTTTTAGCGTTTTGCATTTTTTGCGTCTCCAGCGCTTTTTGCGATTTTAACGTTTTAAGCGCTTTTGTAGATTTCTGTCCATTAAAAACGAGCAAAAGACGCGGCAGGTCTGCAGTTTCTATCAAGATGTCAATTAGTAACGTCGCAAGACCGTGGATTCCCGGCCCGTCCATCAATCAATCCTGTGAGGAAGAGATAGGCGAGATCGGCGCCGCTAGCGTGGAAAAGACGAAGATAAAAGATGCTGGGATTGAATTGTGGACGGGCCGGGGCATATATTCGGAGACAAACAATCTACTACTAGTGCCAGTGGTGTGTGTAAAAATAATAATTATTATTTGCCATTTATTTTACGAATTTTAGTTTATATGTGTATAGTTTTTTTTATGTTGTAGTGTTGTGGTTAGTACTTGTTATAATAATTATAATATAATAAATAATTATAATTATATAATAGAATAGTAAATATTTCTAGTTGCTAATTTTAAGACATGATTTATGAAACATTTTGGAGTGAAACTTCTTTACGCGCGCTGGGAGTAAAAATTCAAAGCCGTGACATACGAGCTAGTGAGACGGCCCTGACACACGAGCTTGTTGTAACGAAACGTGTTAACGGCTTAGAAATACGTAGTGACGCTACGTGTATTTGTGAGCAGTCCACGTGTTTATAAAAAATATTGATATTTTAATACAAATTTTGTAAAAGTGAATCAAATTATTACGTGTAAAAAAACTATTTTTACTATTTTTCGCGAATAAAATTGTCACAGTTATGCGTTGTTAACGCGCAAAAAACTATTTTTACGCGTATAAAACTATTTGTTACGTGTAAAAATCCTTTTGTTACACGTAAAAAACTATTTTTTTACGCGTCAAAAACTTATTGTTTCTGGTAGAAAACCTTTCTTACGCAAAAAAAAATATTTTTTACGTGTAAAAAACTATTTGTTACACGTAAAAAACTATTTTTTACGCGTTAAAAACTTATTGTTTCTGGTAGAAAACCTTTCTTACGCAAAAAAGAAATATTTTTTCGTGTAAAAAACCATTTGTTACACGTAAAAAAATATTTTTTGCGCGTTCAAAACTTATTGTTTCTGGTAAAAAACGTTTTGTTACGCAAAAAAAGATATTTTTTACGTGTAAAAGCTATTTGTTACACGTAAAACACACATTTTACGCGTCAAAAACTTATTGTTTCTAGTAAAAAACTCTTTTACCCCAAAAAAATTTTTTTACCTGTAAAAAAACTATTTGTTACACCTAAAAAACTATTTTTTACGCGTCAAAAACTATTTGTTTCTGTTAAAAAAAAACTTTTTACGCAGAAAAAAAACACTTTTTACGCATAAAAAAACTATTTTTTACGCGTAAGAAAAAATTCCTTTAATTTATTACTTTTCCAACATTTCAAACTACACTTTTTCAAACATTTCCTTCAAATTTTTGAATTTAATAGAATCTTCCTAAATAGTAGATGTTCTTTATAAATTTTTTTTTAGATAATACCCTAAAATGAAAAAAATGCATAGTATTTAATTTATTCTTATCGTATTATTAAATATAACGTCCGCCTATGACGGGGTCTCATCTTAGAAAACGCTAAAGACGCTACAGAAAACAAACTGATTTGTTTTCATTTGCGTTTTTTGCGAGACACGCCGAACGCTACACGCTTTTGGTGTGGCCACTCCTATATAATCCTGTTATTTTGTTTTAGTCGCTAAAGACGCTTCACGCTAAAAACGCAAAAAACGCTTTCAGTGTGGCCGTGGGCTTAGTCTCTATGTAAAGTATAAAACATTTAAATTTCATACATTGTCTAAAATTGTTAAGCATTTTATAGAATACCTAGGTTTTATACAGAATCTAGTAAGAACTAAGCTTCAAATATTAGCATGTTGTTATACTAAACAATTTATTACTTTATATAGGGTGATCTTAAATAAGTGCAAATATGGAGAGAGTGCAGATATGCAGAGCTGGTAGATCTCGATAAAACTCTAATCTATTTTCTCTTTACCGTTTTTCAAATAAGTCCAAAATAACCGAGTTATTTTACTTTGAAAATTTAAGGAAAAAATGATTTTTTGGTTAAATTTTGAGAACAACTAAATCTTTTCTGGATTTTCCACAGGGGTTTTCTTTCTTGTAAATTTAATTTACTACCTACGTTGCAATATTATGAAGATATTGTGATTTTTAACTTAAAATTAAAAATTTTCAATTTCTTTTTCAAAAAATTCAAAATTTTCATTTTCATTTTTCGCGTAAAAAACCTCATAGACGTGTTTTTAGGGTCGAAATATACTCCCCCAGAAATATTTGCACTTATTTAAGACTCACCCTGTATATATTTTAAAATTTTGCGAATACCGGGTGCATCTCATAAGTGGCTTACCCCTATAACTTTTTTATTTTATTTTTCAGATAAACAGACGAAGTTTGGTATGTTAGTATATAACATAAATTAGGATTGATTGACGTATTCAATTGTTTTTGGTCACTTCCTGTTACACCGGAAATTACTACAACTTTTGATTTTTAAATGGCACCCTCGGAACATTTCTACATTATTCAATAGAAAATGACACTCTGAATAGAATTACATATCACATGTCAACTTTTGACATTTTCAAACATGGTTTATTTGAAAATGTAAAATGCGGTTCATAACGGCAATTTGACTCGAAATATCAAGTGTGTGGTACCAAATTATTCGTAAAAAAATACTTTTTCCAAATAAGCTAATGAGCCACCCTTGTTCCATTTGAAAAAAAATTTCAATTCATATGATTAAAAATACGATTTGGGTACCTTTTAACCGGCCCGAACAAGACACGAAAAACATGGGCGATGGCACTCTATTTAAATTAATTATTTTTTTTTAAATTTAAAAAGTTAACATGTGATATGTCATTCTATTGTCATTTTCCATCCAATAAAGTAGAAATATACCGAGGGTGTTACTTAAAAATCAAAAGTTGTATTCATTTCCGGTAACAGGAAGTGACCAAAAACAACTGAATACGTCAATCAATCCTAATTTATATCATATACTAACATACCAAATCTTGTTTTTTTATCTGAAAAAATAAAAACGTTATAGGAGGTGAGCCATTTTCAAGACGCACCCGGTATAAATTTGAATTGACAAATCTTGTTTCTCTACCATTAAACAAACAGATTTCAGTTACGTACCTGCTCGGTTTTAACTCTAGATGCGTTGTTGCTGTCCATCTCCGTAGCTGCCAACTTCTTGCTCAGGAACGGAAACAGTTCGGGATTGGGTAAGTTTGGGTTCCTGTAAACCACCGGGGTTTTGTCGTTGCTCTGAGGTTTGGCTGACGTGGAACACAGGTACGTTAACGAGTCGATTGTCGAACAAGGATGAAAAGGCGACCGATTCAAGGCCTGGATTAAATTGGGTTTGTACTGGGGATCTACCGTCCACAGCGATCCTTTGCCCAAATTCTAGTAAACAAATAGCAATTTTTTAATTTTAGTTCTCTCTCTACCTTTACTTCCTTGCTAAGACAGACAACTGTCATGAAATATATTTTTAAAGTTTATATGTACAGGATGTCCCATTTTGCTTGAAATCATACGGTATCTCCGCTATTAGTGAAGATAGGAAGGTGCGGTTTGCAACAAAAAAATTTTATAGCTCTCTTCGTTTCTGAGCTACAGAGTCTTTTGAAAATTTTGCAATTTGGGACACCCCCGTATCTCTGTTACTGTTAAAGGTATCGAGAAGGTGAAAATTGTTTATTGTAGAACTTTTTACGGTAGAATACAGTGGCGTAGTCTATTATTCTATGAAACGAATATGTTTTCTTAAATGGAACACCCTGTATATTTATAAATTATATGGCTTGCCATAATATCTGGCTTGCCATAATAAGCTTCTGAAAAATATATATCACTCTATATTTATTTTCACTATTTACTGCAATATTTAAAAGTTTTTATTAAAAGATCATATTTATTAGTAGACCATGATTGATAATAAAAAAAACTAAAGAATTATTAAGAGTAAACTGCTATCTCTCTTGTTTTACTATGGAAACCACTAATAAATTCTTTATATATTAGGAAAACTTAACTCTCTACCACTATTTGTAAATCTTGGAAGCCATCGTACCGGAACTTTTAGATATTCCTTTAACTAATTTACGTGAAATAGACTTTCAGCAAGATGGGGCTTCCCCTCACAACTTTGAAAATATTAGAATTTTGTTAAATTATATTTTCTCAAATCAATGAATTGGAACCAATGAATGGACGGATACGATGGCCTCCCTGATTCCCGGATTTGTCTGTTCTCATTTTGGGAATTTTTGAAATATGAAATGTATCCTGACAACTACAACAATGTCGAACACTTTAAAAATGCTTTAATAATGCAAGCAATAATGCTAGCTTTTAGATATTTGCAAACCCATCCCATTAAGCCCCGTTCTCAGAACTGCGTCGTGTCGCTGGCTACACAGTTTGACATTTCAAACAACCAATGAGAGCTGTACTAAATTTAAAATTAACAGCTGTTTGAATTTTGTACAAATCTGATTGGTTCTTTTGATGTGTCGCTGTTCTGAGAACGGGGCTTTATAATAAATTCCGTTATAAAAAAAAAGAAAAATATATTCAGAGATTCAGTGGTAACAGTTCAAAAGTAAAATATATCAATCTAAAAATAAAATTTTAATATGTGTATGACTATTTTAGTAAATACCATTTTGATTTTTTTGTTATTTATCACGGCCTACTAATAAAAAAAAATGATATATTTTAAATATTGCAGTAAATAGTGAAAATAAAAATAAAGTAATATATATTTTTGAGAAGCTCACAGCAAAAAGGATCACATGATCTAAAAATATATAGCGTGTTCCATTAAAAAAACATAACTTATTAGTTCATATTTTCAAAAATATTTTTTCGTAGAAAAACAGACTACGCCACTGTATTCTACGTAAAAAGTTCTACAAGGATCAGTTTTCACCTTCTCGATATCATCCACAATAACAGAGATACGGGGGTTGTCCCAAACTGCAAAATTTTCAAAAAGACCCTGTAGCTCAGAAACGAAAGGGGCTATGAAAATTTTGTTTACAGCATCTTTCATTTGACAAAAAAGTGGGCCAGGTTTGTGCGAACCGCATTCTCTTATCTTTACTAATAACGGAGATACCGTATGATTTCAACCAAAATGGGACACCCTGTACATTTTCGTGTGTATTATGGAGTTTCTCGCTTATGAGTAGAGATACAAAGATACGGTTTTCACATATCTTTCCTACTTTTTTATAAAACTAAACATGCTACACAGATTTTTCCCAGCCCTCTTAGTTTCTGAAATACAAGACGAATTTGAAAATTTTGCATTTTTCGACTCACCTCGTATCTCGGTTAACCTATAACTTATCGAGCTATATGGGTTGTCAACTCGACAATTACTTATAGCGGAGAAGAATGGCAACACTGCCTATTGAGAACGCATGCACTAGGGTTTTCTGCCGACTTGTCCCGGCGGTCGGCGTCGCGTCGTCTATCGACGAGCGGGCCGAGGTTGCCATATTTCAACCATAAAGCTCTTGCCGCGAGTAATAAACAAATTAACAACCTGTATTATGGGCAAACCGCATCTTTGTATCTCATAAACGAGAAAACCCATAAAATGCACGAAAATGGGACACCCTGTACAGTGTTAGTATTTTATTTTATCCTAATTTTAACAGTAAATATGCTAATAAATATATAATAACGAAGAAATATATTTTGTGTACTTAACAGAAGTAACACTGTATATTATAAAAATAGTTCAAGTACAATATGATATCGAAAAAAAAAAACACGGCGTCAGCGACGGCTATGAACTGAAGATCGCTGTCATTTTAAATGTAAAATTATATAGGGAATGTCATCGATGTTCATTTCCAAGTCAACTGGACGCCGTTTTTTTTTTAATAAAACGGTATAATATTACATACTATTTACATAAATACTAACACATTAACCTATTCTACATTTATTATTAATTAGTATTCGTTTTATGAACTTATTATATTATTTCTTTGTTAATTGTTTAGTTAGTAATGTGTTTATAAGGTTATGTACTTGGTATTTATCATAGTATTAAACAGAAAGAACATTACTGAACCAAAAATAAACAAACAAAGAAAGAATCTAATACTTTCATAAAATTAACACGTTAAACGCCAGATGTTTAAAAAATGCTCTCTGGGCCAAGTTATAATTTTGTCATGTACTTTCAATATTTGAAATTCAAAAAAATCTAGTTTTTTTCAAATCATAAAGTTCCCATAGGTATACATGCCGCGCATCAACATCACACTCAAACAGGCTTAAACGAGGACCGCTGGCTTGTGGAACAAATAATTCGAACCGAATACCGAGCGGTCCCTGGGGACCTCCGTGGCGTAGAGGGTACTTCCTTTGGCGGTCCCTAGGGCCCACCATGGCGCGTTTAACGTGTTAATACTAATAAAATTAATAATGTAGAGTAATACCGTATGATCGAAATTTTTAGGAATAAGTTTTTCGAAGTTCTTAGATGTAAAATTATATGAGGAATGTTCATTTCCAAGCTGTTTAAAAAAAACCGTTTTTTTTCGGTCATACGGTATTATAGGGGATCAAAATTATTGTTAACTGAATTTATTCACCTAAAGGTGGGTATTCTCTATCCGAAGGAACGAACGAACGCTCAACAGACAAGACCGGACCCATTGGTTTCGACCGCTTTTGATGGTACCGACTCGAAACGGATGATCGAGCGAACGGCCGCAAGCGTTCGGTTTGTCGTACAAATATACCGAATTTCATTCGTTCATCCGGGTAGTGTATACCCACCTTTAGGTGTGAATAATAATGAACACTCACGAGAATAACAGCAAGTAAGTAGAATGAAATATTAAATTTTCCAAATCCCACCAGACTAATTAAATAGGCACACGGTACCTTCACTTAAATACTGCTAGTAACTAACTATTCTCTCAATGGACGAAAGTCACATGATCCTTTGACTAAGTAAAGCCAGGTATATAAAATCTACCCCGACCCCCATTTCCATATCGTTTTATGACATCTAGACTAGACATTTCTAATTCTTCCTTAATCACCTTATACTTTTCTTATATACCTGTTTACAACTTAATATTGACTCCGAAAGTGATACTACAATTTTATATTTCATTCTATTATACAGGGTGCGTCTTAAATAAGTGCAAATATTTTCAAGGCTGATAGATCTCAATAAAAGAAACATATTTTAACTTTACCATTTTTCAAGTCCAAAATAACCGAGATATTTAAGTTTGAAAATTAAAAAAAAAATGATTTTCTTTGAAAAAAATTTCAGAGCCACCGGATTTTTTTCTGTATTTGCATAGTGCCGTAACCATGGAGTAAAGCCGTAACCGCCGTAACTATGGTAATATCAGAGATTAAGAAGTTATACCGTGGGAAAATTTGCGGTGAACAGCAGGCAGTTCTAAAAAGTTTTCGAAAAATATACAGGGAAATTTAAAAGAAAATGTACAATTTTCAACATCTTTTTTTGCGAAAAAACCTCATAGACGTGTACCTGAGGTCGAAATATACCACCTCTGAAAATATTTGCACTTATTTAAGACTCACCCTGTATTTAATTCATTTCAAGTTTTTCATTTAGCTTTGTGACTTGATAGGCACAAAGACTAGTCGAAATTAGTCGCCTTTTATAATTTATTTATAAACTTTAATATTACTTTGAGCAAAATTTATCATGAAGTCACATTAGGTCACTACATGTTTGTTACATACAGTTTAAAACATCAAGAATTTGATTTTATCGTTTTGAAAAAGATTTAAATATCCATAAAATTTAGTCTAAAATGGCCAAATTTAAATACCAGTTACACCTAATATAATTTATTATACAGGTGTAAATGAATAAGTGCGAAAAAATCTAAAAGATTGCTTTTTTAAACAATTAAGGGAGGTTTTTCCTATAAAATTTTGATTTGTCATTAATATTTTAGCATATTTTTTTTTAAATCAGGGCATACATATTAAATCGAATTCTGCGCAGTGTTTCATTTTCGCGCTCTACAAAATAACGCAAATTTTATTTTATATACAGGGTGGCCCAAACTATATTCCGGAAACCTTCGGCAGCATATTCTGCAGATAAAAATAAGTAAAAAAGTTCGTATAAATGTATGTCCTAAATTGGTTAGTTTCGGAGATACAGGGTGTAGAAGTTTCATTTTTATTTCGATTTTTTCCAAATAATTTCTGAAGTAACGTCAATATATGGATAAAAATTGGTGTCTGGAAGTTGTTTGACATGAGAAATTTGATTTTGATGTCAAATATGACTCCTGCTTGTAGAGGACGCCAATTACATATTTTTAACTGGTTTGAAGAGTATCTAATAACTTTTAGTCCATACCTGTATAAAATTAGGTACTGAGTAAAAAATATATATTTCCGATGTTTTTTACGTAAAAAAAGTATCTTCGTAAAAATCGCTACTAAATGGTTCTCGAGATATTTGGAAGCAAAATTATCAATACCTGTCATCATTGACATAAATTAAACATGTTGACTAAATAGTTTTATTAGACTGAAATCATAAATTTGAAATGTTTTTGTGCCAAAAGTTCAACAAAAACTGTTTTATCTTCATTCTTTCGAAGAAAAATTTATGATTAATTAAAAAAAATTAAAAGTTCCCAAATTTATTTCAGTCAAATAATGATCTCAACATTTTATTTTTTTGTCAATAATGGCATGTATTGACTGACTATTTCCTTTCTAAATATCTTGAGAACGTTTGCTCATAGCGATTTACCAAGGGACATTTTTTACGTAAAAAATCACAAAAATGTTAATTTTTTCACTCGGTAGTTTTATACAGGTACGGACGAAAAGTTATTACTTTTCAAAACAGTTAAAAAATATGTAGGTGGCACCCCCTACAAATAGGAGTCATATTGATATCAAAATCCCAAATTTCTCATGTCAAAAAACTCCCAGACACCAATTTTCATCCAAATATTGATGTTGCTTCAGAAATTATTTGGAAAAATCAAAATAAATATGACATTTCTACACCCTGTATCTCAAAAACTAAGCATTTCAGGACATATATTTATACGAAGTTTTTTACTTATTTTTATCTGCAGAATATGGTGCCGAGTTTCCGAAATACAGTTCGGACCACACTGTATTATAAAATTTTATGGTCCATATTTTTATTTGTCAACGCAGCAAAAATTCACGTCCAATATCGTTTTGCGCAAATATCTCACATGGAGAAAAGGATAGGTTTATATGTTAACCTCGTTCTAGAAAGAAGTAAGTAGAAGAATGCATGTCTTACTAATAGGTACAATGTTGTGAATAATAACTTATGCAGTTTTATGCACAATATTTATAGGATCTAAGGTAATAATAACTTTTTCACTTACTGGTGCCTTCTCAACTTTCTGGAAGCATTTATTCAGAGACAAATTATGCCTGACGCTGTTCTTCCATCCCGTGGGTGCGTTTTTGAAGTACGGAAAGTGGTCCAATATCCAGGCATAGATCTCCTTAACGGGTAAGGCCTTCTGTTTGGAATCCTCGATGGCCATAAAAATTAGACAGGAAAAAGAATAAGGAGGTTTACTGCTCACGTGAATTAACGGATCGTAAGGTTTGTTGGTGTAACGAACATTATGGGAATAACGGCTATTAGTGACCTGCAATAAAGGAAATACATGATAGTTTCAATAAAAAAAATATTTTATTCATTTTATTATTGATTTTTCGAAACTGAAATTCTAAAGGGGTGAAACCACTCCTCAAATATTAGAATATTTTTTATTTAAAAACCGGTGAGTTTTTCGGAAAAACTCTTAAAAACGTACATATATTTTATTTTGTTGTTTTACATATTTTAAGATTTTTTTAAAAATTTATACAGGGTGTTTCATAAAATATGACCATTAAGTAATCACGATTCTGCTTAAACTGCTTGACGTTTAAAGCTGATTTTTGGCAAACGGATTGACTGTGGGGTGTAGAGGTTCGATACGGAGGGGTTTCTCGATTGTTCTTTCTCATGCTGACATAAATGTGATAAAATTTTATCCAGTTTGTATGTTAATGGAAATTCTTGCTTTGCTAGCGTGTACCCGCGACTTCGTTCGCGTCGAATTAATCGTTTGTAATGGTGATGATAAGCAAAGCAAGAATTTCCATTAACATACAAACTGGATAAAATTTTCTCACATTTATGTCAGCATGAGAAAAAACAATATGGCGATATTATTATATAACTTGGTAATATTTGAGGGGTAGTTTCATCTCGTTGGAATTTGACTTTCGAAAAATCCGTTTGCCAAAAATAAGCTTTTTACGTCAAACAGTTTAAGCAGAATCGTGGTTAATCAATTACCCAACTTTTTGGAACACCCTGTATGATTTTTTAAAAAAATTCAAAATATGTAAAAAACAAAATAAATTATACGTGTCCAAGCGTTTTCCCGGAAGACTAATCGTTTTTTAAATAACAAATATTGTATTATTTGAGGGGCGTTTTCGCCCTCTTGGAATTTGAGATTCGAGAAACCCCTCCTTATTCAACTTCTACACCCCACAGTCAATCCGTTTGCCAAAAATCAGCTTTAAACGTCAATCAGTTTAAGCAGAATCGTGATTACTCAATGGTAATATTTTATGAAACACCCTGTATAAATTTTTAAAAAATCTTAAAATATGTATAACAACAAAATAAAATATACGTGTTTAAGAGTTTTTCCGAAAAACTCATCGGTTTTTAAATAAAACATATTCTAATATTTGAGGGGTGGTTTGTGGTTTCACCCCTAAGAATTCGAGTTTCGGCAATCCATTCTTATCGAACCTCTACACCCTAAAGTCAATCCGTTTTCCAAAAATCAGCTTTTTACGTCAAGCGCTTTATGCAGGATCGTGATTAATCAATGACCAGATTTTTCGAAACACCCTGTATACATTTTTAAAAAATCTTAAAATATGTAAAAAAAAACAAAATCAAACCAAACCAAATATACGTGTTTAAGCGTTTTTTCGGAAACTTGACCGTTTTTTAAATAAAAAATATTGTAATATTTGAGAGGTAGTTCACCCCCTTCGAACTGGAATTTCGAAAAACCCTTCTTATCTACACCCTATAATCAACGTATATGCCAAAATTGAGCTTCTTAGGGTACGAACATAGTGGAGGCAGGTTTCTGCTTTCCGGCAACCAGCGCCGTCTCTGGGGACCTATTCTTGACCACTCACATCTTCAAATATCGCTCACATCTCCCATCTCCGAAAAAGCCATATAACAATACACGTGATGCGTAACTTTGCGTATATGCCGTGTATTGTTATATGGATTTTTCGGAGATGCGAGCAGGGTTCGGAAGTAGTTAATTAAGAGGAAATTTACCTGATTAACTAACCTAACCTAACCTAACCATATTCAAACGGCGCGCACATAGGGGTATTTGGCCAAAAGTGAAATATTTTTATTTTCATTTTTTATCTTAACTGAATACAAATCTATAAATACTAAATGTAAGCGCGTTTATTAGCTTTTTTTAAGTCGTAAGTTGACTATCAAATAAATAATATATTTCAATTATAAGTATGAATTATCTTGAGTGTATTCTGAATATTTCTAAGTATAAAATAGTGGAACTGTTTGTAGTGCTTTTTTGCAAATTGTTTATAATAACTGTCATGATGGATACAGAGCCAACTGACAAGTCCTGTTTTATGCCATATTTTTATTTTGAAACGTTTCCTTCTATTCTATTCCTTTATAATGTCTTATATTTTAAAAATCAGAGGCATTTTTATAAGGTGTAAGACTATTCGGCAATATTCTGCATGGAAATTAGTATCCGTTCAATGCTTAAAGTCTCCAGCTTTGGAATATGTACAAAAATCTTGCCAATATTTGCCACTGCCAAAAAAAACATTGATTTAAATAGATTCTTAAAGGAATTAGTCTTTACCCTATAACACCCATCCTCGCTCAAATATCGTCTATAATATACAAATTACTTTCTTGTTCTAGCATCCTCAACCAATTGCTTGGTTTTGCAGAGAATGGCCCTATTTGATCGGTGGAAAGTTTCAGAGTAGAGGAAAAAATATTGTGTAGGAAAAACAAAATGGGGTTCCATATTAGTACCCTCTCCTCTAATAATTATATCACTAGCAAAAAAGCAAAAAAATCATAAAACATAATTTCGGCCAACTTTTAGTTCTTAATACCCTCTGTGCGCCGTCGGCGCGTGCAAAAGCAGAAATAAATAAATTTTCGTTCCGGTAAAAGCGAGAACGCCGATGAACGCTGGTTGCCGGCGCCTACCTGCTTTCACTGTGAACTAGCCAAATACGTTTTAATAAAATATATAGTAAATTTAAATGTATTTGGAACTAGCCGATTTGATAACACGCTTTAATTTTTCAAGGTTATAAGCGCGAAGCGGCGCGGCGCTACTAGGTACCCATATACAGGGTGTCCCAGAAATACGTGCAAGTATTTTAACTTAACTGGTAATATAGTTCAACCCGAGAAACACGCCTATGAGGTTTTTTCTAAATATTTTTTTTTTAAATCGGAATTTTTTGAAAAATTTTTTGGATTTTTTTTTTAGTTTTTATTTAAAAAACATAATTTCTAAATAATAAGGCAACATAGGTAGTAGATTAAATTTACAAGAAAGAAAATCCAGAAAAGATCCAGTGGTTCTTAAACAGCGCCAGTGGTTTAATATAGGAGAGGCCAGTGCAATTATCCGTTTGGCTCAAGACAGGGAGGAATTCCAACTGATGGTCGCCAAGCTCCGATGAGGAGAAGGCACATGAAGAAGAAGGTTCTCAAAATTTTAGCAAAAAATCATTTTTTTTTTGAAAATTTTCAAAGTAAAATAACTCCGTTATTTTGGACTTATTTAACAATACAGAGAAAATATGTTTCTTTTATCGAGATCTACCACCCTTTAAAATACTTGCACTTATTTTTGTGATACCCTGTTTATAACAATACACGTGATGCGTATACGCAAAGTTGCGAACGATGTCAAGAATAGGTACCCAGATTGGCGCCGACTATCGGAAAGCGGGAAACCTGCTTGCACTGTGTTCGCACACTTACGTTGAGTGGTTTGAGCAGGATCGTGATTAATTAGTGAGTCCAGTCACTTAAGGATTTTATATATTAGTATAGAAATCTATATATCTCATAAAAATCATAAGGTATCAGTACCATACTATGCTGTGGTATCAGCATTAAGAGAATGAACATGCAATAAAAAATGTAGCAAAATAAAAAGAAAACATTACCTGACTTCCGTTGCCATTGCCGTTGCCGTTGCTTCTGGGCGTGGGAGAATTCACCGCACTGTAAGTGGAAGATTCGGGAGTTGATATGGAAGAATCGTCGACGTAATCACTGGTCGGTGACTGATCAGGAAGAAATAAGACACTGTTTTTGATAGGCGTAGAGTTCGAACTACTAATTGGCGACGTGTTGATGTTCATATCTAGTGTAAAATATAATGTCAATTCAAATTAAAATGAAATTTTACTTGGACATAATATTATTATGCTCTTAAAAAATAATAATATTTTATAATTTAAAATAAAAGCATAAATAAATAATTAAGAATACTCTAGATAACAAAATGCTAATACAGATTATTGGATTAATGCACTAATGTTTCGTTTTTTGCGTCTATGTTTTTTACCAGACCATCATAATCCTATAATATTTTTCGACGCTGAACACGAATCCGCTATCAGAGTTACGGTATCACATCTCATTTTATTTCTAACCTCAAAAATTTGGTGAAAATCCGTAAAAATTAAGGAAAGTATAGTAGGAAATAATAAAAAAAAATTCTCATGTATAACACTATAACCTAATATAAATGGGCCTAATAAACTCAAAACACCCATCAGAATTGAGCTAGCATGTCTCATATTTTTTCTAACCTCAAAAAACCTAACACAAGTCATGATTTTCGAAAATCGCACCAATCTTAACCAAAACCGCCGATCGTGAATCTGACGTCGGATTTGCCAAATTCAAAATGGCGAATACAATATGGCCGATGCAATTTTCAAAAAATGCCCGGACTTGGACAAAAGTTTATATTGTTGGAATTTTTTAGGTCGCTGATCATGAATCTGACGTCAGATTCGCACAATTCAAAATTGCGGATCAAATATGGGCGACGCGAATTTCAAAAAACACGGATCCGAACAAAATCAGTATATGTGAGTTTTTTGGGTCGCTTATCACGAATCTGACGTCGGATTGGCAAAATTCAAAACGGCGATGAATCCCATATGGCCGATCTGAAGAATAGCTTACCCTGTGGGCGCGGGACCGATTAGAATTGGCCCTACACGTTCTTGAGGTCGACCAAATGGTATCCGCCATCTTGAATTTTGCCAATCCGACGTCACATTCGTGATCAATGACTCATTTGACTTCAGATTAGCGATCAGCGACCCAAAAAAACTCACATACACTGATTTTGTTCGGATCCGTGATTTTTTGAAATTTGCGTCGTCCATATTTGATTTTGCTATTGCCATTTTGGATTTTGCTAATTCGACGTGAGATTCATGATCAGCAACCTAAAAAAAATCCTATGCCGGTTTTGGTTAAGATTCGTGCGATTTTGAAATTCGCATCGGCCATATTGAATTCGCCATTTTAAATTCTGCAAATTCGACGTCAGATTCATGAACAGCGACCGTTATACATAAGAATTTTATTTTTATTTTTTCTATTACATTTTTCTGAATTTTTACGTATTTTCACCAAGTTTCTGAGGTTAGAAAAAAAAAATCAGATGTGATAGCGTAATTCTGATAGCGGATTCATGCTCAGCGTCGAAGAATACTATAGGACATAATGGTCTGGTAAAAAGCATAGACCACTTTTTTATGTGGCTGTGTAATTATTAATATAAAATATGCCTTATCAATGACAGAACATAAGAAAAAAAGATAACCACTATTTAAAAGTGGCGTTGATGAGGACCAAGAACAATGGCATACATTTAATGCAAAAATTGCTCTAAATTATTACTGTTTTATGCAAACGCGAATATCATCGTATGCGGTTAGGGGGGGTATATATGAGGAGGCCTAGAATACTCACGTACCCCCATAGAGCCGCCAAGAGCCATAAGTGATTTTGTTCCATTAACTTACGACTACTACATATGTTTTTTTTAAAACATTATACAAAAAAAGAATACATAACAATGACAGATGTGTCTATCATTTTAATTCGCCAGGTAAATTGTATATTGTGCCATTTTTTCGATGTCGTCTGTCGAAATCTTTTCCGCCTCATTACACAAACTTTAACGTAGCTTTAATGTAAGTTTACAATTAATCATAATTTATCGCTTTTCAAATTATTAAGAAAAAAAAATATTGAATTTATTTCTATTTGTTCTGTTGGTTTCTCCAACGGGACAACAAACTCTCCTTTATCAAAATGTCCTTTTCTATCTTAGAGTATAGTCTAAGTTTTCTATAAATGCATGAGAAAATAATGGGCCATAAGTACTTTTGGTTATCATTCAGAATCAATTTTAACTAGAAGGAATGATCTTATCAAAATGTTTTATAGCGTAGCCCCCCGCTTTGTAAGATAATAATAATTATACACAATTTATAAATTCTCAAATTAGCAAGAAGAAAATGACAAATTTATTTTTAATTTTTTTCTAGCCATAAAAGAAATTAAAAGCTCGTTCCCACTGAATTGGTGATTAAATGATTAATTATATACCCCCAGTTATGTTTTTTTTATTATCTAAAATAAAATTTTACCTGTAAAGAATTCTGTTATCAGAAGATATTATGACGTAGGTAGCTTTGTATAGCATATACCTGGCATAAACATATTCTAAACATTCTAAACTATTTAATGTTTGTTAATAAGAACATTATTTCTAGTATGTAATCGATTTTTTAAATATTCATTGTTTTTATTAATATTTGTTTATTTTTAGTGTTTTTAATTTAATTACTCTCTTTTCAGAGATTCAGAGTATCTTGAAAGCCGTTCACCTTTTCAAACTAAACGAAGAGCACTAAACGAGCAGCAAGATTTAAATCAACGGATTTTTTATTTATCCTAGGTTTAATTTTCGTTTATTGAAATTACTGTATCTATAAAGATAAGAGAAGTACCACTAGTAGTACTCTCTACCCTAATGGAAAGTAACGTTTCAGGGTTGTTACGGAATTTTTCACAATCGTCATTCGCTTTGGCATTAAAATGTGTTAAGAGTACCAAATTTCAGGAAAAAGGGTTTACCAACGTTCTTAAAAATAAAGAAATTATATTATTTTTATTTAACTTTTCGAGGGCAGTAACTTCTTTGGGAAGCATTTTAGGGCATATGTTCATAGGAACTTTTTGTTTTATTTTTATCTGTAGAATCACCCACCAAAGATTCACTTAATTTTGACACCGTGTATATACCGGGTGCGTATCAAAAGTGGCTCACCCCTATAACATTTTAATTTTTTCGGATAAAACAACGAGATTCGGTATGTTAGTATATGACATAAATTAGGATTGATTGACATATTTAATTGTTTTCGGTCACTTCCGGTCTCACCGGAAATGACTACAACTTTTGATTTTTAAATGGCACCCTCGGTATTTTTTTACTGAGTTCGATAGAAAATGACACTCTGAATAGAATGACATATCATATGTCAACTTTTGACATTTTCGCATATGGTTTATTTGAAATTACAACATGCGGTTCATAACGATAATTTGACTCGAAATACCCAGTGTGTGGTATCAAATTATTCGTAAAAAAATGCTTTTTCCAAATATGCTAATGAGCCACCCTCGTTCCATTTGAAAAAATTGAGATATGATTAAAAGTACGATTTGGGCATCTTTTAACCGGCCAGGACAAGACAATAAAAACATTAACCGATGAAATCTATTTTTCCAAGAGTCCTTGATTAAAAATTAGTGTTTTTAACATAGCCATGGCACTCTAGAATGAAATTTAAAGTACAATTAAGCGAATATGTCAAAAGTTTACATATTATGATATGTCATTCGATTCAGAGTGATATTTTCTATCGAATAAAGTAAAAAAATACCGAGGGTGCCATTTAAAAATCAAAAGTTGTAGTCATTTCCGGTGAAACAGGAAGTGACCGAAAACAATTGAAGTGATCGAAAACAATTGTATATGTCAATCAATCCTAATTTATGTCATATACTAACATACCAAATCTCATTATTTTATCTAAAAAAATAAAAAAGTTATAGGGGTGAGCCACTTTTGAGACGCACCCGGTATACAAGTTTTTGTGAGTTTTTAGTAAATAACATCTAGAAATTGACCTCACCAAAATTATCATCGATTGTCATTCGCAACGTGTCTTTTTTTCCGATCATATTGTATTTTAGACGTAAAAAAACTTGTAAAAAATATCACATGAAATCGTTATCAATATTTATTTATTTATTTTTATATTACTTCGTTAAAAGAACACACAAAATAACTTCCTCGTTACAGAACTAAGTCGATATTATTTTAATTGGTATATCTAAATAATATTTCAAATAGACCGAAAAAATAGTATATCAAATAAAGAGAAAGCGGAGAAAGTTTATATTTTGTGTACTACTTTAATTAAAAATTATTTTAAACATACATTTGATACCTTTAATAGAAAAGAAAAAAAACTAGTTAAATCAAAACGGTTTATAACCCAGCACTAAGTAATCTTTGAGAATCGCATAAATAAAAGAACGAACTGATATATATGAAACTATACCGGGTGCCCCTCAAAAGTGGCTCACCCCTATAACCTTTTCATTTTTTCAGATAAAAAAATGAGATTTGGTATGCTAGTATATGACTTAAATTAGGATTGAGTGACGTATTCAATTGTTTTTTGATCACTGCCTGTTTCACCGTAAATGACTAGAACTTTTGATTATTAAATAGCAACCTCGGTATTTTTTACTTTATTCGTTAGAAAAATGACACTCTGAATAGAATGGCATATCATATATTTTCGCTTTAAAAAATCGTATTTTAAATTTCAATCTAGAGTACCATGACTGTGTTAAAAACATTAATTTTTAATCAAGGAGCATTGAAAAAAAAAATTGATCGTCCAGTGTCTTTCGGGTCTTGTCTTGACCAGTAAGATGCCCAAATCGTATTTTTAATCATAATTCATTTTTTTCAAATAGAACGAGCGTGGTTCATTAGCATATTTTGAAAAGGCATTTTTTTACGAATAATTTGGTACAACACACTTGGTATTTCAATTGGAGTCAAATTGGAGTCAAATTGTCGTTATGAACCGCATGTTATAATTTCAAATAAACCGTATGAGAAAATGTCAAAAGTTGACATACGACATGTCATTCTATTCAGAGTGTTAATTTCTATCGAATAAAGTAAAAAAACCGAGGGTGCCATTTAAAAATCAAAAGCTGTAGTCATTTCCAGTGAAATAGGAAGTGAATTGAATACGTCAATCATTCCTAATTTATGTCATACACTAACATACCAAATCTCGTTTTTTTTTTGTCTGAAAAAATAAAAAAGGTATAGGGGGTGAGCTACTTTTGACACGCTCCCGGTATACCGCGGATAACCTGGCAATAACTCCTAAATAACTTGCTACATTATTTAGGAGTGGCTACATTAGGAATGGCAGATAAGAGAATATTGCCAGTTCACCCGCGATATTTTAACCAAAACAATTCATTACCATAATATGTTATGGTATACCGGGTGTTTCTGAAAATTGGCTCACCCCTATAACTTTTTATTTCATTTTTCAGATAGAAAAACAAGATCTGGCGTGCTAGTATATGACATAACTTAAGAATGACTAGTGATGTAAAAGGGAATATTACCGCGGTAATATTACCGGTAATTTTGGTAAAATTACTTAATATTACCGCAAGATCGGTAACATTGGAAGTATTCCAATGTAAGAACATCCAAGAATGGTAGAAGCTGCTAAGAAAGAGATGGAAGAAGAAGACATCGATTTCAAAGTAATGACTTAACTTTATTAACCGATTTGAAAGTAATAGACTTGACTTTATTAACAAAAGAGAAAGAAGAATCAGATGACGAGATTTGGGTAATTTACCATTATCCACTCTATTACGTACTAAATCATTTAAAAAGCTGTTTTTTATGAATTACCAATGTCACCGTAATATTACCGATTTATAAATTACCGGTAATTTTACATCACTAAGAATAACTGACAGTATTCCATTGTTTTCGGCCACTTCCTGTTTCACCGGAAATGAATACAACTTTTGATTTTTAAATGACACACTCGGTATATTTTACTTCATTTGATAGAAATGACATTCTGAACATAATGACAATCATGACCTTTTGACATTTTCAACAATTAAAAAGGCGTTTTCAATTTCAATTTAGAGCTATCAAGCATTAAGAAATAAACTATAGTACCTTTTAGTACATCTCCTTCGTGTAACCAAGATAAACTGGTCAAGTCGTCGTCGGGTCCTTTCTGGCTCTGAGCCACAGCCAGCAGTATGGAGATGGGCGACTGCGCATGGCTCATGGGCGTGAGCGCTATGGGGCTGCCGGGAACGGACATACGTGGCGGCGGAGGGTACGAATCGTCTTCAGCTGATCCGGGCCTTTCAGGAGACATTACAATCTAATGGAAACCAATTTGGATCTGTAATTAATAGTAATGAGTAGTAATTGTAGTTGAAGGTAGAGGTGTGTAGTTCGTGAAGGAACTAGTTCCAGTCAACTATTCCGACCCCGGAATGAAGGGAACTAGTTCCCTGTTTCTCAAAGGACTAGTTCCTCAGAACCTATTCGGGGATCGAGATTGTGACTGATATATAATATCCGACGGCGACGGATGGGGCAACGCGATCGTAGCCCGATGCTAGGCGGGAGTGGAGAGCACCAGCCGTATGTTACCTGTCTCGAACCGAAAGGACTGAAAGGAACTAATTAAAAGACTAGATAACGGGAAGATAGGATAGAATCTATTCAGTCGGCAGGTCCGAGATATAATACAAATCGACGACGATGGATTTGGCATTGTCTATTGTCACAGAAAATTGTCGTGGATACTGTTTTTGATGTTTAGTTTATTCTTTGAATATTTTATGGGAATGTTTCACTTTAGGTCCCTAAAATTAAGAAATATCTTATAAAACGATGTAGATATTCTGAAATTGTAGACAAAAACAAAAAGCTTGACGTGAGGAAAAATGCAATTTTTCGTAAAATCTTCGTATTATTTGCTCCAATTGATTTGTGATATAGTTTTTTAAACTCTGATTTGAGTTTGTTTTTTATTTTTTTATCTGCAATAAAACTTACCTATATGTTTTTAACATACGCAATTACACGTCTCGTTATATTTCGTACATTATAAAAATTATACAGATTATACTGTGAATAGTTCTGACTGACTGACAACGAAACCCATTAGCATGCAACGGGGATGTCAATGTTAGTCGGGAACTATTGAGAACTAAAGACCTGGTCAAGTACCTATCTCTGGAGGAACTAGAATTAAGGAACTAGTTTCTCCCAAGGAACTATAATCCCCACCTCTAGTTGAAGGTGTGTAGTTCGTGAGAGAAAGTATTTTCAATGAACTTTAACCCGACCCCGGAACGAAAGGAACTAGTTCCCTATTTCTTAAAAGACTAGTGGAACTATGCGTTCCGCAGTTCCGAGATAAATATTTGATCGACCAGCATGATCCTTTTTATTACGCTACTTTTAAAAATCTAATATATCTGCACAGCTTCACAAAATAATGTAATTTTTACAAATTTCTATAGATATTTAATTGCCAAACGATACTATTATCACAATTAGCTCTGCACAGGGTTGGGTAACGACACGTAGAAAATTAATTTTCTGTGTATGTAGAAAAATGCGTAGAAAATGTCGAATGTGTAGAATATTAAGTAGAAAATGTATAAAATCCGAGTACGTGTTCAAAATTAATTTTGTATTTTAAAAACTGTTTTTCCCTTTACAATGTCCTTCTGGGTATTTTCTTCAAATTTTATAAATGTTAAAACTGTAATACGTGCGCGCGCTGTCTTTATTCTGTGACGGTACTAACTACTGAAGATAAGAGACAGTAATCGATCTGAAGACTATTAAATTATTTTATTCTATTTAATCTAAGGACCGTTAAAAAAAAGTCTGATTTTATAGTACAAGTTTTGGTTGTTTTTTTTTCAACTTTACCCTGGTGTTAAAAACTATACCGACTTGGTCATCGAAAAGAATTTTAATGTGACAGTGATGTAGACAGCTTAATGGAATCAAATATATTAAAAAGAGATAAAAGGCCTGCTGAGCGATAAAACTGAACGTCTGTGACAATCTTAAGACTTTTTTTAATTAAAAAATCGAGTTAAAACTGAAAACATAAATTGTGTGGAATTCTTGTTATTTTCAATATCTATCACTGCATTTAATAAAATAATTACTAGAAAAAAAAACATAAAAATTTGGCTACCCTATAAATTACAGTTGAGGGTTGGAACCTTTGGTGTTACACAGCAAAATAAAAACACTAAATCACCACAATACACCAAAACACTTTTACTTTTACACTGATTTCAGTGTAAAAGTAAAAGTGTTTTGGTGTATTGTGGTGATTTAGTGTTTTTATATTTTACCCTATAAATTCATTATAATAGTAACCTAAATTTATTTTTTATAGTAACAATTAGTTGTATTTTCCAAGAAATTGGTTGGTTGCTCAAAGCAACATTATAAAAACAAATCTGAGAAATTCTAGATACACAAATTAATATAATAATTAATAATATTCTTTTTGCATTGACTTGTGTGTTAACCTCGTATGAATATTTACATGTTCATATCTTTAAATGTTTACTTAAAAGGCAGGTTTGAATATTAAACAAATTAGCTCTATGACGGTTAACAGAAAATTTTATTAAATATCGACTAATGCAGTAATTAATATTTTAGCTGCAGCTATAAATTGAATTATACCAACTATTTAATAATTATAATCAATAGTTAAAACCTGCTATGTACAGGGTGGAGTCTATCATACGACGCGGAGGCTCCAAGGAGAACGACAGTTTCTATTAAAATGAAATTTTATGAACATATGTTGGCCAATATAAAGTCCCTAAAAAAAGTTACAAATTAAAGTGGTGTTTTTTGTAATGGAACACCCTATATATTAAATGATTTTCGGATTCTAAGGGAAAAATAAAGGCGAGTTTCATTAGAGAAGTATATGACTAAAATGAAAGATTTTTGACATATTTAACAATTTCAAAAAATAAATAATACTTTTTAAATTTCAATAAAAACTACCTAAACCGGAATTTTCCCGGTATAGCCTAATATGTAGCTAAAATAACTATTGTACTTTAAATCAAATTAAAACTTGACCCCAAAAAGTTATACAGGGTGAGACAAAATTAATATTGAACATTGGTAACCTTTAAAAGCAAGCTACTCGTTTATTTTAAATGGAACACCCAGTATGTTATTCCGATATTCAATCGGGAATGTAGGTCTCCCTAAAATACTACCAAGGTTACCTATCCATTCAACAAAAATTTTTCTAGATATTTTCATTTTTATGATTTGGTTTGAATAACACACATACAACACAAACAGTCTAAAATATTGTCCACACTAGCAGAAGCAGAAGATTGTCCTTCTTGACCCTCCATTACAAACGAAACAGTAAACACTAAGTTAAATCCGAAAAAAATACAATATAACCTATAAAATCGCAAGCGAATTATATCCACGTAGCTGGGTACGTCACCCGCCTTTGACGTCACTGCTACCTCAGCAGTAGAAGCCTATAAATATAAGTTACATTTATATTTTCTCATCTTTTTGTTAGTACTGTTCAACCAAACATATTAATAAACTGATCAAGTCTCTGTGTTGTTTTTTAAAAAGTAATTGTCCCGGTCACGAAAGAAAACTAGCGAACCCGTCCCGATAAATTAAAAGACGAGGAAGGCGGCCGACAGATCGCTGCCGTGGCTAGCAACTGTGGACGATTTTCCAGCTTAAATTTGTCGTTTGCGTTCGAGGTCAATAACACCTACATGAAGGAGGGATAGGCGACCGGCGGCGATTTCCAGACGCGCATCCATGCAGTAAAAGGCTAATTAAATTTACTACCTTTATGTAAGGTCTCAAATAAATAATTTGAACAAATTAAATTAATCTTTTGTTATAAAATAACAGTATTATTAACGTTTAACTATTTATTTTATTTATCTTTAAAAATTTTAGGGAAGCGGTGCTTCCCCCGCTTCCATGGACCGCACGCCGCTGTTTTCAACGCTTTATACGGAAAAAAGGTCTCTTGGTAAAAATCGCTACGAGTAATGGTTCTCGAGATATTTGAAATCGAAATTATCAATACCTGTCATTATTGACATAAATTATACATGTTGACAAATAGTTATTTGACTGAAATCATCAATTTGAAACGTTTTTGTGCCAAAAGTTCAACAGAAACTGTTTTATCATAATTTTCTGACAGAAAAAATATGATAAATTAAAAAAAAATCACAAATTTATTATTTCAGTCGATTAACTATCTGCATAACGTGTTTATTTTTTGTCAATAATGACAATTGACTATTTCGATTCTAAATTTCTTGAGAACGGTTACTCGTAGCGATTTTTACCAAGAGGTATATTTGTTTACCCAGTAGTTTTATACAGGTAGGGACGAAAAGTTATTACACTTCAAAACGCTTAAAACACATGTAGGTGGCACCCCCCACAAATAGGAGTCATATTAACATCAAAATCCAAATTTCTCATGTCAAAAAACTCCCAGACACCAATTTTCATCCAAATATTGACGTTGATTCAAAAATTATTTGGAAAAAAATCGAAATAAAAATGATCTTCTACATCCTGTATCTCCGAAACTAAGTATTTTAGGACATACATTTATACGAACTTTTTACTTATTTTTATCTGCAGAATATGCTGCCGAAATTTCCGAAATAAAGTTCGGACCACCCTGCATTTGCGATATATTTTAAAGCTAAAAAAGTGTCGACATATTCACCAGAGACTGGAATATTTTTCTAAAAAAGGCATGTACGCCACTGACTTTTTTCTCTTGTTACCGAAATAGTGTTTAATGCCGATCAAAAATTGTCTCTTGATATTTTGTTGATTTCGACCTCGTTGATGAGATAAACGCAATGTTATTAATTTGCCTTGATCCAAGTGTAACGTTTTTAGTTCGTTACATGTCTTTTTTATATATAATATATGATGTCTGGGCCTATCATCACCGGATTCCCTCTCGTTCAGGCCGGATAGTTTATTTGACGCGTAATTTTTACGTTCCCTAGTCGCCAACCCTGTTATCGTTCGACACAACCCTGTTACTATTCTGTGGAGGCGCGCGCTGTCAACATCGCTTCTGTCAACTCTCCGTGCTTAACCTCACTTTGTTTTGACGCTCTGTTGTATCCCAGCTTTTAGAAATGGTGATTATTTAAATCTTGCTGTAAGTCAGTAGATTTTATTATTTGATAAAATCTAGGTGGCTGTGATATTTCTAACGTTACTTCAACATAACTGTCACATTAGTTCAACTTTACCAACTAGTTATCATTTTGTATTAGGTTTTTTGGGGACACCCTGTGGAATTTTCTATAT